TTTGAAAAGTAAATCGCAAAATGTCTCAAAACTCTTAAAACTAATAAATAGTTGTAATCATTTTGACGTCAAATTATTATCAATTTTTGTTTATATAAAAATTAGTGCACTTTTTACGACTAAAATTAGACTCCACACTACTATCCAATTAAATAGTCTTTGGATAATAAGTAAAGAATTTCATAATTTATTCGTAAATCATTCAAAATATTACTGTATATAAAGATATGTTTATTTAGAAATCAAAATAAAGAGTAAAATATTTCAATTTAAAGAGAAGTTTGTTGAATAAACAGTCAAAACAATCAAATGTAACAATCAATCAACAATCAACTGTTGGGCTCATCACTGGTTGCAAAGTGTCGGTCACTGATGTGTCGTTCACTCGCTTTCCATTTCAATTGATGCGGTTGTGGTAATGCAGTGATGGACTGGGGGTGGATGTATGGAATATCAGTCACGGGATGACTGAATGGACAGTCCCGGGAATGACATTTCGCACCAAATCGACACACCTTTAGTTCAATAATAAATGTTATCTTCGATCGTAAAATTAAATTTAAATTAAGGTTCAATCGGACATACCTTGGGATGAATGTAAGGACAGTTCATATTCTTACAGTTGGACTGAAATTTGCATTGTTTAACAGAACCCATGGGTAATGTGTTGCTCGCATAAGCCGGCGCCGGAATCTTACGTTTACTCGCGTGAGTGAAGGGACAGTCTCTTCGTGAGCACATGGCGTCAAACTTGCAGTCTGTGAGTCAATGGAAATTAAATTAAAACAATAAACATTAAAAAAATAACAATAAAATTTAACACTAATAAATTCACCTGGATGTATGTATAGGCATTTGTCACCAAAACGACAGTTTGGAAAAGTTCTTTGAAAACAAATTTAAAATGAGTTCTAATATGAACTGGTCATAGTCATCACGTGGACAGACATACTTGCAGGGTTGGCAGGGATGACTGAAAGGGCACGAATCGCCATTCTTACAGGACGGCCAGAAACGGCACCTCTCGTTCACTTTGTTGGCGCTCAACACATCGTTTTCTAAATCATTGTCACCCATGTCTGCACTTTCGTCAAACTCTGTCTCCATGTCTTCGTCCAGAAGTGTCGGGTCGTCCACTGAGACATCAAATTCATATAACTCTTCGAAATGAAAGCCCAATTCAGACCATTACTTACTTTCACTCTCCTGTGAGTACTTGTTATGGTCGACGCCATCCAAAGTGACCACAAACTGTGGATTCCTTTCAATGATCTTCGACTTCACAAACCTATTAGTTTTGGGCAATTCCTCCGATTCGTCGTCTGTTTTATCCGAATCTAATCAATACATCAAATAATGAAAACCTCATAAAACATCTCAAGAATTAAATAATAATCATTAAAATAAGTTTAAAAAATATTTTGTATGAATTAAATACAAAAGCGATCCAATGTTCTCGAGTCATAAGGCCTACCAGTTTTAACAACATTCAAGTAATTCCTCAAATCCTGAGGATCTAAATCTGGTTGCACTTCATCG